CTCATACCCGCAAGGCCATGTCGAGGGCCGCGGCGTGTGGGACGATGGCCCAAGCTGTGGCTCACATGCGATACAGCAGCCTCTCGCGGGCGTGGCACACGTGGCACAAGGCGGTCCGCAAACTTGGAGAGCTCGAGGAACGCGAGCAGGAGGTTGGCAGGGCCGTCGGCAGCGCCGAGACGGAGAAAGATCGTCTGCACGGCGCGGCGCTTCAGTCGCGCGAGGACGCGCACGCGGCCGAGCTCCAGGCGAAGGCAGACGCTCACGCTGCCGAGCTCGAAGCCAAAGCCGACGCCCACGCGGCCGCTCTCAAAGCGAAGGCGGACGCCCACGCCGCGGCGCTCAGCGCTCGTGAAGACGAGCTCCTCGCCGGGCACAAGTCCGCGTTGCAGTCCAGGGCCGACCAGCACGCGACCGAGATCGACGAGGCGCAGAAGTCGCACCAGCAGCAGCAGGACATGCTTCGAAGCAGGCACGAGGCGGAGCTTGCGTCCGCGACGGAGATGCTCGCCCTCGAGAAGGACAGCGCGCACAACTCGCGTCTCGTGTCCGAGCTCCGGGCTCGCGACGACGAACACGCCAAGACGATGGAGGCTCGTGAGAAGGAGCTCGCGGAGAAGCACGCGGCACTCCTCGCGGAGCTGCGATCGTCGTTGACGGCGGCTCACGACGCGGCCATGGCCGAGACGCTCGGACAGCACGAGGAGCAGCGCGCGACGCAACAGCGCCGGCACGAAACGGAACTCGCCGCCAAGACATCAGCTCTGGAAATCGAGAAGGACCGCGAGCACACAGCGAAGCTCGCAGCGATGCTCAGGGAACGCGACGAGGCTCACGCGAACGAGCGCCGGTCCGCGGAATCTAGCCTAGCGGACCGCCACAAGAATGAACTCGACGCTCGAGATGCGTCTCATGCTAAGACCATGTCTACGATGCAGGCAGGTCATAAAGAGGCGATTACTGCCATGCAAGAGAAGCACGCCGCGTCGCTCGAATCTGCGACTGAGCTCTTGGCTCTCGAGAAGGACCACAGCCACAGCTCAGCCCTCGCTGCCGCCCTGCGTGAGCGTGACGAGGCGCACGCGAAGGCTCTGAGCGCTCGCGAGAAGGAGCTCGCCGATAAGCACGCGGGCGCGCTCGCCGAACAGAAAGCCGGGCTCGTCGGCGGACACGAGAGCACGATGGCTGACACCGTGGCCCGCCACGAGGAACAGCTCGCGTCGCTCGCCCGCCAGCATCAGTCGGAGCTCGAGTCGTCGACTCGGGCACTCGAGGTCGACAAGGATCACGAGCACTCGACGAAGCTCGCGGCCGCGCTCCGAGAGCGCGACGAGGCCCACGGAAAGGAGCGTCAGGCCCTGGAGTCGAGCCTCAAGGATCGTCACAAGAACGAGCTCAGCTCCCGAGACGCGGCGCACACCGACGCCGTCAACGAGATCAACGACCGGCACAAGAGCGACTTTGCCTATCTCAAGGAGAATCACGACGCGGAGCTTTCCGCGGCCGTCGAGTCCGCCTCGTTGGAGAAGGATCGGCACATGCGCTCGGCTTTGACGGCTCAGAGCCAGGAGCACGACGCGGCACTCGCTCAGGCCATCGCCGAGCGCGAGGCGGAGCTTCGGGCTCTGCACGACCAGGAGCTTGCCTCGCGTGGTGTTGCTCACGCCCGGGCGACCGAGTCGGCCGCCGCCTCTCACGCGCGCGCGACCGAGTCGGCTGCCGAGGCCCACGCCCGAGCGCTGGAAGAGGAGCGCAGGCGTGCGGCGGAGGCCTTCGACGCTGAGAAGGCGTCGCTGAACAAGCTCCACCGTGCCGAGCTTGATTCTGAGTCCGAGAAGCACCAGGAGACGCTCTCTCAGGCCGCGCTCGAGTACGAGCAGGCTGTTCAAGCGACTCTTGCTGAAAAGGACGAGGAGCACGCCAAGCTACTGGCGGACGCCGAGTCGAGCCTATCGGCTTCGGCTGAGGCGCGTCTGCGGGAAGCGGACGAGCTTCTGCGTTTTACGGCGTTCCGGGCGGCGTCGAAGATGGCCGACGGTGTCCTCACTCGCGGAGCAATCCAGGGCGTACTTCGCAGCTTCCGAGTGTGGGCGATGTACACCCACATGGCCGGTGTGGCCTCTGCCAAGGAGGTCGACCACGACGTCGCCCTGCGCGCCGCGGTCACTCATACCCGCAAGGCCATGTCGAGGGCCGCGGCGTGTGGGACGATGGCCCAAGCTGTGGCTCACATGCGATACAGCAGCCTCTCGCGGGCGTGGCACACGTGGCACAAGGCGGTCCGCAAACTTGGAGAGCTCGAGGAACGCGAGCAGGAGCGTGTCCGTACTGCAACAAAGCACGCTGCGGCCATGGATAGGGCCGTCGGCAGCGCCGAGACGGAGAAAGATCGTCTGCACGGCGCGGCGCTTCAGTCGCGCGAGGACGCGCACGCGGCCGAGCTCCAGGCGAAGGCAGACGCTCACGCTGCCGAGCTCGAAGCCAAAGCCGACGCCCACGCGGCTGCTCTCAAAGCGAAGGCGGACGCCCACGCCGCGGCGCTCAGCGCTCGTGAAGACGAGCTCCTCGCCGGGCACAAGTCCGCGTTGCAGTCCACGGCCGACCAGCACGCGACCGAGATCGACGAGGCGCAGAAGTCGCACCAGCAGCAGCAGGACATGCTTCGAAGCAGGCACGAGGCGGAGCTTGCGTCCGCGACGGAGATGCTCGCCCTCGAGAAGGACAGCGCGCACAACTCGCGTCTCGTGTCCGAGCTCCGGGCTCGCGACGACGAACACGCCAAGACGATGGAGGCTCGTGAGAAGGAGCTCGCGGAGAAGCACGCGGCACTCCTCGCGGAGCTGCGATCGTCGCTGACGGCGGCTCACGACGCGGCCATGGCCGAGACGCTCGGACAGCACGAGGAGCAGCGGGCGACGCAACAGCGCCGGCACGAAACGGATCTCGAATCCGCGAGGGAGCTCCTGGCTCTCGAGAAGGACCAGCAGCACACCACTGCGCGTGTCACGGCTCTGCGTGAGCGCGACGAGGCGCACGCGAAGGCCCTGAGCGCTCGCGAGAAGGAGCTCGCCGACAAGCACGCGGGCGCGCTCGCCGAACAGAAAGCCGGGCTCGTCGGCGGACACGAGAGCACGATGGCTGACACCGTGGCCCGCCACGAGGAACAGCTCGCCTCGCTCGCCCGCCAGCATCAGTCGGAGCTCGAGTCGTCGACCCGGGCCCTCGAAGTCGACAAGGATCACGAGCACTCGACGAAGCTCGCGGCCGCGCTCCGAGAGCGCGACGAGGCCCACGGAAAGGAGCGTCAGGCCCTGGAGTCAAGTCTCAAGGATCGTCACAAGAACGAGCTCAGCTCCCGAGACGCGGCGCACACCGACGCCGTCAACGAGATCAACGACCGGCACAAGAGCGACCTTGCCTATCTCAAGGAGAATCACGACGCGGAGCTTTCCGCGGCCGTCGAGTCTGCCTCGTTGGAGAAGGATCGGCACATGCGCTCGGCTTTGACGGCTCAGAGCCAGGAGCACGACGCGGCACTCGCTCAGGCCATCGCCGAGCGCGAGGCGGAGCTTCGGGCTCTGCACGACCAGGAGCTTGCCTCGCGCGGCGATGCCCACGAGCGAGCGACCGAGTCGGCCGCCGAGGCTCACGCGCGCGCGACCGAGTCGGCTGCCGAGGCCCACGCCCGAGCGCTGGAAGAGGAGCGCAGGCGTGCGGCGGAGGCCTTCGACGCTGAGAAGGCGTCGCTGAACAAGCTCCACCGTGCCGAGCTTGATTCTGAGTCCGAGAAGCACCAGGAGACGCTCTCTCAGGCCGCGCTCGAATACGAGCAGGCTGTTCAAGCGACTCTTGCTGAAAAGGACGAGGAGCACGCCAAGCTACTGGCGGACGCCGAGTCGAGCCTGTCGGCTTCGGCCGAGGCGCGTCTGCGGGAAGCGGACGAGCTCCTGCGATTCACGGCGTTCCGGGCGGCGTCGAAGATGGCCGACTGTGCTCTGACCCGCGGAGCAAGGCATGGGCTCATTCGCAGCTTCCGAGTTTGGTCCATGTACGCCCACATGGCTAGCGTGGCCCTTAGAAAGGAGGCTACCGATGAGTTAGAACACGACGTCGCCTTGCGCGCCGCGGTCACTCATACGCGCAAGGCCATGTCGAAGGCTGCCGCGTGTGCGACGATGGCCCGAGCCGTGGCCCACATGCGATACAGCTGCCTCTCGCGAGCGTGGCACACGTGGCACAAGACGGTAGCAAAGCTCCGAGAGCTCGAGGACCGCGAGCAGGAACGACTTGACACAGCGAGAAAGCACGCGGCGGCCGTGGATAGGGCCGTCGACGGCGCCGAGACTGAGAAAGACCGTCTGCACGGTGCGGCACTTCAGTCGCACAAGAGTGCGCACGCGGCCGAGCTCAAAGCGAAGGCGGACGCCCACGCCGCGGCGCTCAGCGCTCGTGAAGACGAGCTCCTCGCCGGGCACAAGTCCGCGTTGCAGACCAGGGCCGACCAGCACGCGACCGAGATCGACGAGGCGCAGAAGTCGCACCAGCAGCAGCAGGACATGCTTCGAAGCAGGCACGAGGCGGAGCTTGCGTCCGCGACGGAGATGCTCGCCCTCGAGAAGGACAGCGCGCACAACTCGCGTCTCGTGTCCGAGCTCCGGGCTCGCGACGACGAACACGCCAAGACGATGGAGGCTCGTGAGAAGGAGCTCGCGGAGAAGCACGCGGCACTCCTCGCGGAGCTGCGATCGTCGCTGACGGCGGCTCACGACGCGGCCATGGCCGAGACGCTCGGACAGCACGAGGAGCAGCGCGCGACGCAACAGCGCCGGCACGAAACGGATCTCGAATCCGCGAGGGAGCTCCTGGCTCTCGAGAAGGACCAGCAGCACACCACTGCGCGTGTCACGGCTCTGCGTGAGCGCGACGAGGCGCACGCGAAGGCTCTGAGCGCTCGCGAGAAGGAGCTCGCCGACAAGCACGCGGGCGCGCTCGCCGAACAGAAAGCCGGACTCGTCGGCGGACACGAGAGCGCGATGGCCGACACCGTGGCCCGCCACGGGGACGAGCTCGCGTCGCTCGCCCGCCAGCATCAGTCGGAGCTCGAGTCGTCGACCCGGGCCCTCGAGGTCGACAAGGACCACGAGCACGCGACGAAGCTCGCGGCCGCGCTCCGGGAGCGCGACGAGGCGCACGTCCGCGAGTGCGAGGCGCTCAAGGCGAGCCTCAAGGACCTGCACCGCAGCGAGCTCGGCTCGCGCGAGGCCGCCCACAACGTCTTCGTCGCCGACGCGCGCGAGCGCCACGAGAGCGACCTCGCGCGCCTCCGCGCGCATCACGGCGCGGAGCTCTCCGCGGCCGCCGAGTCCGCGGCGGCCGAGAAGGATCGCCACGCGCGGTCCGCGCTCGCCGCCCAGGGCGAGGCGCACGACGCGGCGCTCGCCGCGGCCGTCGCCGCGCGCGAGGCCGACCTCGAGGCGAGCCACGCCGCGGCGCTCGCGCGGCAGCGCGGCGCGCACGAGGCGGACGCGGAGGCCGCGGCCGCGCGCCACGCGGCGGACCGCGAGGCGTCGGCGGCGGAGCTCCGCGACGCCCACGCCGCCGCCCTCGGCGCCGAGGCGGAGAAGCACCGGTCGATCCTCTCCGAGGCCGCGCGCGAGTACGAGGCCGCGATCACCGCGACGCTGGCGGAGAAGGACGCGGCGCACGCGGCGCGCGTCGCGGCGCTCGAGGCCGGCGCCGTCGAGGCCCTCGCGGCGTCGCGCCTCGGCGCCGGGTCGACCCTCGCGTCGGCCGCCGTGGCGCGGTCCGCGCGCGCGCGCGTGCTCCGGAGCTTCCGCGTCTGGGGCCTCTACGCCGCGCTCGCGACGCACGCGGCCGCGCGCGAGGAGATGCACTCGACGGCGCTCCGGTCCGCCGTGGACCACGTCGAGGGGTCCATGGCGCGCCTCGCGGGCCTCGGCGCCCTCGGCCGCGCCGCGGACCGGTGCCGCGGCCTCGGGCTCGGCCGCGCGTGGCACGCGTGGCGGCGCGCGGCGCTCGGCGCGGGCTACGCGGCCCTCGCGGGCGGCCACCGCGCGGCGACGGTCGCCCGGGCCTGCCGCCGGCTCCGGAACCTGGGCCTGGCCGCGGCCTTTGTGTCGTGGCGCGCCGCGGGCGCGGAGGCCGCGCGCGCCGACGCCGCGCGGGCTTCGGCCGTGAAGCTCACGCGGCGCGCGCTCGCGCGCTGGACGCGCAACTGCCTGGCGCCCCGGTTCAGCATGTGGGTCGCTATCGTCGAAGATGAGAAGCGGATCGAAAAACTCCAGGCGTCGACGATCAAGCGCATGGAGCGGCAACTGCACCGGTGGGGCATCGCCGGGGCGGACCGCGGCTTCAAGGCGTGGCGGTCGTTCGTCGCGGCGACTCGCTTGGAGGAGGAGAAATCAGGCCTGGCCGAGGAGCATCGCCGCGCGCTGTTCGGCAGAGTCTGCCGGCGGCTGAAGAATCTGGGCTTGGCCGGCGCGCTCACGTGGTGGCGTTACGTCGTCGCGGAGACGGCTCGCATCGAGTCCGCGCAGGCATCAGCGATGAAACTGATGCAGCGTGCGCTCCGCCGGTGGGTCCTGGAGTCCCTCGGACCGTGCTTCGAGTGGTGGCTGCACATCATCGAAGAGGAGAAGAGAATCGAGGCTGCTCAGGCTTCTGCGATGAAATTGATGCAGCGGGCTCTTCGCCGCTGGGTGCTGGAATCGCTCGGACCGTGCTTCGAGTGGTGGCTGCATACTGTCGAGGAAGAAAAGCGGGTCGAAGCCGCTCAGACTTCCGCGATGAAGCTCATGCAGCGGGCGCTCACGCGCTGGACCCGCGACTGCCTGGCGCCTCGGTTCAGCATGTGGGTTGCTAATGTCGAAGACACGAAACGCATCGAGAAGCTGCAGGCGTCGACGATCAAGCGCATGGAGCGGCAGCTGCACCGGTGGGGCATCGCCGGGGCGGACCGCGGCTTCAAAGCGTGGCGGTCGTTCGTCGCGGCGACTCGCATGGAGGACAAGGCGCGAGAGTCGCTCGTGGGCAAGGCGTGCCGCCGGTTCAAGAACTTGCGCCTGTCGTTGGCCTTGAGCTGGTGGCGGCACGTCGTCGCGGAGACGGCCCGCATCGAGTCCGCGCAATCGTCAGCGATGAAAATCATGCAGCGCGCGCTCCGCCGCTGGGTGCTGGAATCGCTCGGCCCATGCTTCGAATGGTGGCTGCACATCGTGGCGGAGGAGAAGCGCATCGAAGCTGCTCAGGCCTCTGCGATGAAACTCATGCAGCGGGCGCTGCGGCGGTGGGTACTCGAATCACTTGGCCCGTGCTTTGAATGGTGGTTGCACACGGTCGAGGAAGAAAAGCGCGTCGAGGCCGCTCAGACTTCTGCGATGAAACTCATGCAGCGGGCGCTCACGCGCTGGACCCGCGACTGCCTTGCGCCACGGTTCAGCATGTGGGTCGCTATCGTCGAAGATGAGAAGCGGGTCGAGAAGCTGCAGGCTTCCACAATAAAGCGCATGGAACGGCAGCTGCACCGGTGGGGCATCGCCGGAGCGGACCGCGGCTTCAAGGCGTGGCGGTCTTTTGTCGTAGCGACTCGCTTGGAGGAGGAGAAATCAGGCCTGGCCGAGGAGCATCGCCGCGCGCTGTTCGGCAGAGTCTGCCGGCGGCTGAAGAATCTGGGCTTGGCCGGCGCGCTCACGTGGTGGCGTTACGTCGTCGCGGAGACGGCTCGTATCGAGTCCGCGCAGGCGTCAGCGATGAAACTGATGCAGCGTGCGCTCCGCCGGTGGGTCCTGGAGTCCCTCGGGCCATGCTTCGAATGGTGGCTTCACACGGTAGTGGAAGAAAAGCGGGTCGAAGCTGCTCAGACTTCCGCGATGAAGCTCATGCAGCGGGCGCTCACGCGCTGGACGCGCGACTGCCTGGCGCCTCGGTTTAGCATGTGGGTCGCTATCGTCGAAGATGAGAAGCGGATCGAGAAGCTGCAGGCTTCCACAATAAAGCGCATGGAGCGGCAGCTGCACCGGTGGGGCATCGCCGGGGCGGACCGCGGCTTCCGCGCATGGCGGTCATTCGTCGCGGCGACTCGCATGGAGGACAAGGCGCGAGAGTCGCTCGTGGGCAAGGCGTGCCGCCGGTTCAAGAACCTGCGCCTGTCGTTGGCCTTGAGCTGGTGGCGGCACGTCGTCGCGGAGACGGCCCGCGTCGAATCGGCGCAGGCATCAGCGATGAAGATCATGCAGCGCGCTCTTCGTCGCTGGGTGCTTGAGTCGCTTGGCCCCTGCTTTGAATGGTGGCTGCACATCATCGAAGAAGAGAAGCGCATCGAATCGGCTCAGACTTCTGCGATGAAACTCATGCAGCGGGCTCTCACGCGCTGGACCCGCGACTGCCTTGCGCCACGGTTCAGCATGTGGGTTGCCATTGTTGCAGATGAGAAGCGGATCGAAAAACTCCAGGCGTCGACGATCAAGCGCATGGAGCGGCAGCTGCACCGGTGGGGCATCGCCGGGGCGGACCGCGGCTTCAAGGCGTGGCGGTCGTTCGTCGCGGCGACTCGCTTGGAGGAGGAGAAATCAGGCCTGGCCGAGGAGCATCGCCGCGCGCTGTTCGGCAGAGTCTGCCGGCGGCTGAAGAATCTGGGCTTGGCCGGCGCGCTCACGTGGTGGCGTTACGTCGTCGCGGAGTCGGCTCGCATCGAGTCCGCGCAGGCGTCAGCGATGAAATTGATGCAGCGTGCGCTCCGCCGCTGGGTGCTGGAATCGCTCGGACCGTGCTTCGAGTGGTGGCTGCATACTGTCGAGGAAGAAAAGCGGGTCGAAGCTGCTCAGACTTCCGCGATGAAGCTCATGCAGCGGGCGCTCACGCGCTGGACGCGCGACTGCCTGGCGCCTCGGTTTAGCATGTGGGTTGCTATTGTCGAGGACACGAAACGCATCGAGAAGCTGCAGGCGTCGACGATCA